CACCGGGCATCGACTACGTTCACCCCAAATGGGGCAATTGCGTCGACGTAGATGCCAGTGGATCTCCAAGATGTCATCTCCGCGTCCATGGCAGCTATCCGCTGAGAGGCCCAGAGTCTCGAGGTCGCCTCCGCATAAGTGCGAGGGGTTGGGATGTCAAATGCGTCTGGGTCCTCCTCAGGGACTAGCAGCATGAAGCAGAGATGAGGCACGACCTCGGACAGGAAAGCAAGCTCGTACTGCTGGTCCTCAAAGACATCACTTCCGAGGGCAGGAGCACCCCTGACGGACGGAGGACGGGCACGGAAAGAGACAAGAGCGGTGGCGTAGTTAAGGCGGCGAGTAGAGGCGAAATCAGCGACGGCAGCGATAAGCGCGTCAAGACTCGAGACAGAAACAGACGGGTCAATAACGAGGGAGGCAAGGACCTGAGGAAAAAGAGGACTTGCGGCACCAAGGAAGTCATAAAGAGGAGGCGGAGCGACAACAAGCGACAACAGAGGAGGCGACGGGAGAAGGAGAGAATGAGGCGCGTGGGAACGAAGCAACATAGGGTGAGAGCACAGAACAAGGGAGACAGGACAAGCACGGGAGGGACGGCGAGACAAGACGTGAGACGGAGGCGTCGGGTCAGGAGTTAGAGGAGGAGATATAGGAGGGGAAGGAGGGGGAAAACGAGCCAGAGACAAGTCCAGCGGAGGAAACACAAGGCCGTAGACAGGCAAGGGAGGTGGCAGCGAAAGAGGCGAAGGCGGGCGCTCAAGGGAAGGAAGACTGAGGAGGCGAAGGGCGGACACTGGTTGGGACTGCTGCTGCTGCACCACACCGACACTAGAACCTCCTGCTGGACCATGGCTACCTCCGGATTATTCCACTCCAGCACCCCCAGAACGAGAACCCTCTCCAGCACCGGTGCCACCCCCAGGACCGCCGGGACAAGCCACGACTGTAACCCCATGACTAGCACCCTCCTCAATGCCAACACCTCCAGAACGCGTGGACCCTTGTGCCAACTGCTGCTGCGGCGGCGGCGACGGCGGTTGTTGCTGCGTCGGCGATGGCGGCAGCTGCTGCAGCTGCGGTGGCGGAGGAGGAGACATCAGAGCGGAGACAGGCGGCGAAACCGAAGCCGCAGGGCCCCCGGAGTCAGCTTGCTCCTCCACCGGGACCACCGACGAGAGGGGACTGACGTGAGACACACCAGATGAGGCAAGATGGGGAGGGAGAGGAGCAGGGGCTATCGGGGCAGAGGGAACCAGAAACAGGGGCGGGGAAACCAGAAGACCTCGATGGGGAAAGCGGTGGTAGAAGGAGACAAACTCATCAAATGTGACGTCACGCGAGTGAAACAAGCGGTGAGAAGGCGAGTGGTAAAAGTGCCAGTCAGACGCGTGAAGGGGGAAACCAAGGAAGACACAGGGGACAGTGCAGGCCGTGAGCTTGTCCGTGCCAGAGGCAGCCCCAGACGTGGAACGCAGACGCGTCACCAGGGAACCTGGTCCAGAGGAGGGTCGGCGAAACCTGCGGATCCAGGGAATTTGGCCAGAGGATAAGCTGGTGAGCAGCGTAGCGAACAGCGATCGGCCATGGAAAATGGGGTGCACCGGGATGGACCATGGAGGTACGAGCCACCTCCATGACCAAACCGATGCATCGCTCAGCGACCCCATTTTGCTGCGGGGTGTCCGGCAGATTATACGACTGGGTGATACCCTCTGCATGACAGAACTGGCCAAACTGACCGGAGGCAAACTCGCGGCCACAGTCAAAGTGGAGACGCAACACAGGGAGGCCGCGGTGGACTCGTGTAGCTACAACCCACGAGATAAGAATGTCAGGCAGGTCGGCCTTTTGCTCCAGGGGAAACACCGTGGTATAGCGCGTGTAGTCGTCGACAAGCTCTAAGAAGTAGCGCTCTCGACGCGGCCCAGCGACGGGGGCTGGGCCCCAAACGTCCAGGTGCAGAGTCTAGAGTGGCGCTGTGGTAGGGGGAAGCGAGAAGGAGTGAGGAGCACGGCGCAGTCGGCCCTTGACACAAGGCGTGCATGGCGGCGCAGGCGAGGGAGGAGGGTAGGGAGCGACGCAGGGAGACTGACAAGACCGTGATGGGACATGTGACGCAGATGCGGGGGTGCGGGGTGACCTACGCGGTGGTGCCACAGAAGTGACGGGTGAGTGAGCAACCGACACGAGCAAGCCGTAGCGACCTGGGTTGCTGGAGGCATCTGGGGGGGACGCAGTGTCAAGCGTAAACAGGTCAGGCACAGGGTCCCTGGGGAACGTGGCCAGAGGGGCACCAGTGGCGGCCTCGGTACTGACCGCATACCGCTCTTGTCCGGGGAACGTAGTGGTGACCTCGAGGTCCTGAAGACAGCCAACACCAACTAGGTTCCTGGAGAATGAGGGGATGTGCAGGCATGTAAGAGAGCCCGAGGGGACCGCCAGACAGGAAAGGGTAGTGGAATTACGGGCAACTACCAAACCTAAGGAGGTGTCAGCAAGCGCTACAACGGCGGGGGCAGCAAGTGGCGTGAGCGCAGTGTGGTCACGAAAGGAGCAGGCGGAGGCACCAGAGTCAAGCGTAAAGGAGAGCACCAGCCAGCGGAGGGGCTAGGTACAGTAGGAGCTTAGGCTAAACTAGGCAGGGGGTCCTACGCCGAACGCAGCAGGGGAGCCTAGACTACACATAGAGGACACTCCTACTCTAGGCAACACCGGGTAATAGGGTCCAATTACACTAGAGTCATCAGCATACATGACAAACATAGCACTCAATATCAAAGACAGGCACACGGCAGCGAGCCAGGTTGTACAGTTAGGAGGGTCCGACGTGGAACCGAAGTGGTGACGGAAGAGATCGTCCAGGTGGCAGTGGTGTGGCTGGGACGGTCGCAGACGGTACCGCGTCAGGGGCCGATCTGAAGTTGGTACTGACAAGTGACCGCACTGGAGCCGCCACCCAGCACCGAGCTGCGCCCCCCACTGCCACGACAACCGCCACCAGCGCTGCTAGTCCACCATGGCGGCGGGGGTCCCCACGGCGACTGCTGCTGCTGCTGCTGCTAAGTCTGCTGTTGCTGAGTCTGCTATTGCTGTTGCTGCTGCTGCTGCTACTGCTACTGCTGCTACTGCAGCTCCGGGGCACCAGCCCTGGTCCCCTCGTCTCAACCACCATCGCCGCCCCCACCTCCTCCACCCTCCCCACCCCCACCACCCATCCCTCCGCCACGTCCCCCCTTTGGGCGGCGGCCATTACCCAGACGCGGCTGCGCTGAGGCCGCAGCGGAAGTCTCAGCCATAGAGGCAGAGACGTAAGAGTAAGTGCATTGGGAGGGGGCACAGCCCTGAAAGATAGGGACTGGCGCAATACCGCTAGACTGAGCGATAGTTCTCTGGTGGGTCTCTATCACGGAGAGGGCGGTGACAAGGGCGGGAAGGGTGAGGTCACCTGGGTGCTGACTAAGGAAGTGGTCGCTTGTAGTGGCTAGGCGGTTTGGAAGGAGTGTGGATATGAGGTAGAGGGTAGCACAAAGGGGCGGCGTAAAGGCATTGGGCTGAGCCTCAGTGCTAGCGGCGCGATAGCTAGTCTCAAGTGCGCAGAGGTGAGTGGCAAGATCAGCGATAGTGGGGAAGGACGCAAGATCAGGGAACAGCATGAGGAGGATCAGGCGGCCATCAAAGGCTGAGGCGGAGGTGGAATTGCGCGCGATGATAGCCTCTAAGAATTCCTTGGCATTCCCTACAGTTTTAAAGTGGGAATGCTGAGACAGGAGTAGTGCATGACTAATAGCAAGCTGCGCAACAGTGCCGCGCGACTCCCATACAACGTGAGCAAGCGCAGCAGCGGAGAAGGCCTCACGCTCAGCAGTGGTGGGGGAGTCAAGGAGGGCAACAGGCGCTGCAGGGCGGGGAAGCAGGCCATCGACATGAACAGCCAAGGAATGGCCGTCCTGGCGCTGACCTGTAAGGTGACGGCGAAGGTCGACGAGCCACGCCTCGAAGTCGATCGGCCGACCCTCCGCGTCCAGGCGGAGCATTGAGTCCGCCATCACCCCGGCTGCAGCGGCTGACTGCCGCTGAGAAGGGGAGGAGGAAAGGCGGCGGAGAGCGATCGAGTGAGGTGGAGTGCGGTGGAGAGCGGTGGAGTGTGGTGGAGTGCAGTGGTGTGCAGTGGAGAGCGGTGGAGTGCGGTGGAGAGCGGCGGAGACTGCCGGCAGGAGTGCCGGCTCAGAAGGGAGCCAAGGCCGGGAGGTCGGGGGCGGCAAAGCGGCGCGGCAGCGGAGTGACACGTCGGCGCAGCGACATGGCGGCACTGCGGCTCGGCGGCTGGACGTCGCGGGCTGGGGCCGGCGCGGGCTGTGGCCGGCGGAGCAGGTGCCAGTGGAGCTGGGGGCCGGCGAGGTAGGGGCCGGCTAGCTGGCGACCCGCGAGCTAGGGCCTGACTAGCGCGGGGCGGGAGGACTCGGGGCCAGCGGGAAACGGGGCCAGCGGTGCCGGGCTGGCGAGTGCGGGGCCAGCGGCGCAGGGCTGGCGCAGACAGGGCCAGCAGGCGCCAGGCTAGCAAAAGCGGGGCCAGCGGGCGAGGGGCAGGCGAGATCGGGGCCTGGGGGAAACGTGGCCGGCGGCGAGGGGCTGGCAACAGCGGGGCCAGCAGCGCGGGGTGGGCAAGCGCAGGGCCAGCAGGCGCGATGCTAGCTAACGCGGGGCTGGCAGGCGCGGGGCAGGCGTGCGCGGGGCCAGCAGGGGTGGGGCCAGCGAGCTCTGGGCCAGCGGGCGCGGGGCCGACGATCGCGGGGCTAGCGGGTGGCTAGCTATGGGCGGCTCGAAACGGGGGGCTCGAAACGGGCAGCTAGCAAAGGGCAGCTAGGTACGGGCGGCTAGGAACGAGCGGCTAGGACTAGGCCTAAGGTGGAAGCGCTGGTAGGCGGGGGGGACTCAACCTAGCGTGATACCATATCAAAGTTAGAAAAAGTGACTAGAATGAGGCAAACATGGTGGTTTTGTCTAAGGGGTTGTACCCTCTTAGAGTATGCACCTATCTAGCCTATAATACATATACATTATATGTTTGACAGCATGCTCATAGAGGGTACAGCACCATAGCACAAAACCTCTCTGTATGGCACAATCTAGTTCATTGCGTTATTCTAACAGCCTCTCCCGCAAATTGTCCCCTCTCCAGCATCTCATCTCCCTCATATCCGCGCTGCACCATCTCTCACATCTGCCGCTCCACACATCGGTTGCCCATTCATAGAACAGCCCCTCGTTCCGCCGGCAATGATGGCTTTGAGTGATCTCTGAAAACAGCTGCCAATGAACAGCCATATTGTTAACTCTCGTTATAATCACCTCACCAGCAGCGGCATCATCATCTCCCCCGCTACTGCCACAACCACGCACACAAGCACGTTGTCCCAATCGCCAGGCGCTAGAGCTTCCACTGCCGCCGCACCCGCTGCTATCGCCAATGTGGCAGGCGCTGCTGTCGCCACGTAGATGTGGCTTGGGGCGAAGTTGCCGGACCAATCAAAGAGCAGCAGCGAACCGAACCCAAAAACGAAGCTGCAGAGAAGCATCGCCACGCTGCCAGGCCAGCTCTTGACCCCAGACCACGGAAGCTTCCGTGATGGCGCGTTGCCGAACTGCCGCCCCGCGAGTTCCGCGAACCCGTCTCCCGCGCAGAGCGCGTTGAGTGCGAGAAAGGCGGAGGGGGAATGGCGCCAGAAGAAGATGGTAAAGGCGACGAAGCACGCGCCGTACATCACGGGACCTCGTAGCATTTCCCTGTGATCGCCGCGCCGCGTGACGGAATTAATAGCTAGTTTGTCCTTAACTACGCCTAGACCGACGAGGGTGAAGTGGAGCGTGATCAGCAGCGGGACGACGGCCGCGGCGAGGCGCGCGTAGGGCTGGTCGGAGAAAAGGTTCCACGTCAGCATGAAGATGGGACCGGTGAAGATGTGGATCAGTTTACGGCTGAGATAGACGGAGAGCAGGCGGAGCGCGACGAGAAGTTGAACGGAGAGCAGCCATGCGAGGCAGATGGCGAGGGTAATGCCCGTGGCTGCGGCGTCCTGCCACTCGTCGCTCGCTGCGAAGCGCCGCAGCCACATGACGAAGTTGAAGGCCGCGCCTGTAAATAGCAGCGACGTAGATGATCGGCGGTGAGAAAACGACGACCTACGATGACGGGAAGGAACAGTCGAACGGGGGAGAAGAGAGCACCGGGTACGAAGGCGAGCAGGAGAGAGAGCAGATGGGTGCGGCGACCTGCCTGCCACTCGCGCGTGATGCTGGTCGCCGCTACACAGATATTCAGCGGACGAGTGGCAGCAGGGGAAAGGAATGTGAAAGTGAAGAGAGAGAGAGAGGCGCGCACGTCAGGTGGTTACGATGGAGGGAGCCTTCGTTGACGCGTCTAGAAAAGACTTGCTGAGATGCAGGTGCTAGTACAGTAGCGAGTCTATGGCGTGAAGATCCGAGGACTGTCACTCATCGTCAGCGCGCCTGCTGCTGCTGAAGCGGCGTCAGGAGCAGTTGCATGGCGGCCTTCCCCATGCTGCGCTGTAAGCCGATCCAGCTCGTCGTATCCGAGGCCTCTTACGAATCTCAAGAGTGTTTGCAGCGATTATGCTGGTTTTAGTGGCCATATATGTGAAGTGACGATTATGGTGATTGTATGAAAAATAAAATCGAATAGAATAATAAATCTATAGAATGCATTATTACCTCCATTTTAAATTTCGCATAATAAATGAGAAGATGTGGTGTATCTGCTGTTTGAAACATTTAGGGCTGTAACTCCTCAACATCACCTCGCACTGTGCATCGTAAGTTTGGATCGCAGAGCACTATGTAGCAGAGCAAGGCACAAAAGCTGCGTCTCGTAGCCTAGATTCTGTCGTTGCCGCTCTCTAGTACCCGAACCGACCCTCTTTCCTCGACCCCGAGCTCCGCGGCTTCGTCGGCGAGCCCGTTTGAATATAACGCGAATGACGCATTCGATCATGATTCGCGAGACCGCGCTCGCATCTTAGTGGGCCTAAATCGTACTCCTCCGAGCGTGCCTTACCATAAGGCCTGCAGCTGCAGCAGCGCTGTGGCCCGATAGACATCCTCCAGCGAGGACCATTCCCCCCATTGTCGCACGAATCTCTTTCCTCCGCTGTCTCTCCCTCTCCCTCTCCCTCTCCCTCTCCCTTCTGTTACAAGATCCGTGTCGCTCGCCCAGCCCCGAGCGCACTGCGCTGGCAGGGAAATCGGAAGGGCACCAGCACGCCGAGAATTCCGCGAGTGCGGGGAGAAGCAGCAGCTCGCAGAGCAGGGGGAGGGGCTGCAGCGCGCGGAGAAGGGCAGGGGAAAGGCGCGGGGAAGGGCGGGGTTGGCGGGATGTCGGGCAGCGGGGGATCACTGAGCGGCTTAGGGGGGGGCGTGAGCAGCGGGTTCGTGGCGGGGGGGAGACGGTGGGAAGATCTGAGAAAAGACGTGAGTCGCACGCGCTCCCACCACGCCACCCGCCCGCTTGCGCGCGCATCTCCTTCACCGCTTCTCCAACCCCCTCTCCCTGCTCCACCGCTGCTCGAAACAGTCAATCTCTTCGCCTCCTCCGCCTCCGCCCCGTCCCTTCAGGCGCGCTAGCCAGACAGCGAGGTGGCCCGTCGTCTGTCCGATTCCCACTGCCCCCTTTCCTCTACCCTTCTCTTTCCCCCTTCACTTCCCCCACTACCCCTCCAGTCGCGCAAGCTGGAGAGTGAGGTGGACCACCGCGTGGCAGCCTTTCACGGTTACCTCCCCCCTGCCCACATCCCGCCTTTCCCTTCCCCCGTCACCCCCCCACGCGCGCAAGCTGGAGAACGAGGCGGGTCACCGCATGCAGCTTCCGACTGGCCCGTGCCCTCCGCTTTCCCCGTTGCCCATCCCCTCCCCGCCTCTCACCTCCCGCGCGCAAGCTCGAGAGCGACGTGGGCCACCGCGTGGCAGCCTTTGTGGCGGCACTGGTGTCGGAGTATGGATGCCTGCATCGTTGCCTTGTATCAATGCCATCCCTCTTCACCCCTCTCCACCCTTCTTCACCCCTGCAGGCGCGCAAGCTGGAGAGCGAGGTGGACCACCGCCTGGCAGCGTATTCCAAGCTGGGGGCGGCCTTCTCCCTCGCCTCCTCCTCCACCGCCGCTGGCTCGCTGCCCGACCCGTCAGAGGCCCAGGTACTGCAAGGGGGGACGCACGTCAGCGTGAGGGTACTGCAGGGGTGTCCATGTTGGAGTGTACCGATCCGTCACTGCCCACTCCAAGCTCGGATCGGCCTTCGCCCTCGCCTCCTCCTCCACCTCCTCCTCCTCCTCCTCCTCCTCCTCCTCCTCCTCCTCCTCCTCCTCCTCCTCCTCCTCCTCCTCCGCCACTGCGGCTTCTCTGCCCGCCCTCTCTGCAGCTCAGGCACAGCAGGGGGAGTCTGATCCTGCTGCCCCCAAGCTCACGCACGCACCTCCACATTCCCATCCCACCTTCCTCTCCCTTCCCCACACCCTCCCCTTCCCCTCCCCCCTCATCCCTGCCGCCATCCTCCTTCCCAATGCGCGCTCATTCTCGTCCCGCTCTGTGCTGCAGCAGGAAGACGCGAGGTCGAGCCCCCCCTTGCAGCAGCTGGTGCCGGTGATGACGCCATGGGTGCACGTTGCCGCGCCTCATGCCCCCCAACTCCCTTCTGCAATCCCTTCTTTTCCCACTCTCCTCTATCTTCACATCCGAGAGGGCCCGATGGAGTCTCTCCTGCAGCAGGTAGCGGCGGTCAAGGAGGCCATGGGCCATGGGTGCGTGCACAAACACCTCATAGCGCTCCCATTTCCTTCCCCTCGTTCTCTTTCAACGCCCTATTCGTCAGATCCGCGAGGGGGAAATAGAGTCGCTCCTGCAGCAGTTGGCGGCGGTGAACGAGGCGATGGGCGCGTGTGCTGCAGCGGGGGGGGCGGGAGGGGGCAGCTCGGAGCTGCAGGCGCACACGCTGACGCGCCACAACAACATCCTCCTGGAGTTCTCACGGGTGGGTGCCACGGAGTGTTCGTGGGGGGGTGGGTGGGGAGGGGAGGGGGGGCGTTTGCTTGGCAGCTGGGGGGTGGAGGCGCACACACGGACTCGCCTCGCCACAACAGCATTCTCGTTGAGTTCTTGAGGTGGCTGGGAGTGAGCGTGTGTGGGTGTGGGTGTGCGGGAGGGGGGAGGTGTTTTTTTTGTGTGTGTGTGTGAGGGGGGGGTTTAGCGGTGAGGTGACGGAGAGCTTCGAGAGCCGAGTGAGTGCTTGGGGGGATTGTCCCGATGCGGGTCCCTTTCATTCCTTTGTAGACGTCTCTCCGCACGCTCACTGCAGTCATGGCTCCCAACCCAACCTTCTGAGGAGGCGAGGGAGCTTTCTTGATTGCCAATCATGTTACTCCTGCAAAAAAAAAATGATGCTGTTTTTTGTTTTCTCACATGCACCCTTACAGTGATTGGGAGCATGGAGAGGACAGTCTATGTGTTGTCTTTTTACTAACAAAGCATTTCTGGCCTCTCTTCCCTTCACACGCGCATAAGTTCGTGTTCATGTGTGAGGGTATCTCCCGTCAAAAACAACACTGAAGGATTTTCTTTAATCCCGATACGTCGTTGCCCTCCCTTTCCTGCCTGCACCCACCCCACCAGGAGTTGGCGTGCACATGCAGAGCCATGGCAAGGAAGCTGGGGGGCAATCGTCCCAGACGAGAGGATGAAACATGCCTTTCCCTCTCTTCCCGCCCTGCCTCTCCTGCTTCTGCACCGGCAGGAGTTTGCGCGCACGCGCGGCGCCGTGACAACCAACCTGGAGCGGGCACAGCTGCTGGGGGTGTTTGGCAAGGCAGGCAGCAGCACCCGCGACGGCGCGGGCGGGGGCAGCAGTGCGGGCGCTGAGGTGCTGTCGGAGACCGCCCGGCTGCTCAACGAGAGGAACTCCATCCACTCCGCACTCTCACAGGTACGCCCCCTCCCAAGTACACCCTCTCCCAGGTACGCCCTCTCACATGTACGCCCTCTCACATGTACGCCCTCTCACAGGTACGCCCTCTCCCAGGTGCGCCCTCTCACAGGTACGCCCTCTCCCAGGTGCGCCTTCTCACAGGTACGCCCTCTCACAGGTACGACCTCTCACAGGTGCGCCCTCTCCCAGGTCCGCTCTCTCCCAGGTGCACCCTCGCCCAAATACGCCCTCTCCCAGGTACGTCCTCTCACAGGTACGCCCTCTCTCAGGTACGCCCTCTCCCAGGTCCGCCCTCTCCGAGGTGCGCCCCCTCACAGGTGCGCCCTCTCACAGGTGCGCCCTTTCACAGGTACGCCCTCTCACATGTACGCCCTCTCCCAGGTACGCGCTCTCCCGGGTGCGCCCTCTCCCAGGTGCGCCCTCTCCCAGGTCCGCCCTCTCCCAGGTGTGCCCTCTCACAGGTGCGCCCTCTCACTGGTACGCCCTCTCCCAGGTGCGCCTTCTCACAGGTACGCCTTCTCACAGGTAGGACTTCTCACAGGTACGCCCCCTCCCAGGTCCGCCCTCTCCCAGGTGCACCCTCGCCCAAATACGCCCTCTCCCAGGTACGCCCTCTCACAGGTACGCCCTCTCCCAGGTGCGCCCTCTCCCAGGTGCACCCTCGCCCAAATACGCCCTCTCCCAGGTACGCCTTCTCCCGGGTGCGCCCTCTCCCAGGTCCGCCCTCTCCCAGGTGCGCCCTCTCACAGGTGCGCCCTCTCCCAGGTTCGCCCTCTCCCAAGTGCGCCCTCTGCCAGGTTCGCCCTCTCACAAGTTCGCCCTCTCACATCAGCGAAGGTCGAGACTCGAGAGGATTTTGACCATCGAAGTCGCGGGTTGGGTTGTGATTCAGGTGGGTCACTTGGCGGTCAAAGCCCTCTCGATCGAAATCCTCTCAGATCTTGACGGTCGCACGCACCAAACTGGCCCTGACCACAGCACTCAGCACGGATTGGCCAACGACGCCTGGCTCGTGTACAGTTTCGTCCCAGCGCATGCTTGCCTCTTTAAAAGCCGCTCCGCGCAGTTGTTGGCACACAGGGCCTGGAACACTCAAATTCAAATTGCATTTACATAACACATGGGCACTATATTTTCCCGGGCCACTGTTAACATCCAGTTATTTTAGTGAATTTCTATATCCACCATATGGTTTTATATACAGGGGATTACGGTACGTTCTCCGGACTCCATTTATTCTGTTCTCTCCCAGGTGTGCCCCTTCCTTCCAAGGTAGATCTCACAACCTCTCTGCATGCAAGGTGTCACACGCATCCCATCATGTGCGCGCACTCAGTGCATGCCAACGCAGCAGATGCCAACTCAGCGCATGCCAACTCAGCGCATGTCAACTCAACGCATGCCAACTCAGCGCATGCCAACTCAGCGCATGTCAACTCAGCGCAGGCCAACTCAGCGCATGCCATCTCAGCGCATGCCATCTCAGCGCATTATTTTGGTCCATCTGCCGCTGTATATAACCCCCTTCCTTTCCCATCAGGCTGATGACGTCATCAAGCAAGCATATGCCACGTCATCCTCACTTGCGCAGCAGCGCTCGCTCCTTGGAGGCACATTCTCTAAAGTCACACTTCTGGGCAACAGAATTCCAGGGGTAGGTTCTTGTGGCGATGGCACTCTCCCACATGCTGCAGGCGAACTGCTGCTCTTGCCCTGCTGCTCCCTCTTTGCCCATTTCTCCCCTGCGCCTTCCTTCTCCTTGTCCGTGGCACCTGCTTGTCATGGCTGCTCTCATCGTTCATCGCCTCTTCCCCCCGCCATGCTGCCTCACCACCCCCCGCATCACCGAACCCGCTTTGCGTCCTCTCGCTTTCCCCTCCAGCTGAACACGCTGCTGTCGGCCATCCGGAGAAAGAGGTCGCGAGACACTCTCATTTTGGCCTCAGTGGTGGCGGCATGCACGCTCTTCATCCTCGTGTACTGGCTCAACAAGTAGAGGCAACCAACCAACCAACCAACCAACCAACCAACCAACCAACCTCATCCCTTGCTGGAAAGGTAGTGCCAACTGGTATGCACAGTGGCACGTTTCATCTGCTATGCTGCCTTCACCAAGCTCTCATTGTTATTACCGTTAAATATTCCATAAAGACGGGTGTAGGATACTGCTACAAATCCATATCTCTCTAGAAGTTGTCGTTTTTGTGTAGGTTTGTGTAAGCAGTGGACAGTACGTAATTAGTACACTGGTAAACGCGGTACACGGTGGCACTTGTTTTGCGGTGCGGTGGCAAATTCTAGTCCGTACCGTGTGTCGCATGGGTTGGCTGGGCGAGTGAGGCTTGTATTGTACGCACTCGCGGGTTGCTCTAGCCGTGGAGAAAGAGTAGGTTGAAGGTCCTAGCTTGATAATTTCGATCGAGGCGCCCTACGGTCAGAGGACAGCCGCAGCACGATGCTTTTCACGGGCTTGCTCGCATCGCGCCTCGCGGCTCCGCAAGCCAAGCCCAGACCTTTGCACCGTAATTTCCAATGCGATCGTAATTCCTAAAGAGGCAGGCCACCGTAATCATTCGCTGCAGTCACCCACCACCTGTCCTCGACTTTGCATCCCGTTTCTTCCGCTCTCACCACTCTACGTAACCCCCGATGGCGATCGCGCGGAGCTACGTCGTCTCTCGCCCGGCGCCGGCGCGCTACGGCTCGTCACCAGACCTCTTAGCGTCGCTGCAGCAGTCGTTCCGGGCGGCGCGCGTGTGGAGCACGTTCCAGCAGCTGTTCGGCTTCTTCGCGTTTCTGCTGACCCTCTGGTTCGTCACCGCGCGCCCCTGGCACTCCGCCCACACCCTCTCCGCCAGTTCCGCCGCCAACGGCGCCGCCTCCTCCGCCACCTCCCGCCTAAGCGCAAATGGCGGAAGTGGATTCAGCGGCGGGAGCGGGAGCAGCGGCGGGAGCAGCAGCGGGGGGAGGGTGTCGGGTCCGGCGGCGTACGTGGTGGTGGTGTGCGACGAGGCGCAGCTCAAGTCCGCCATGGTGCTGGTGCACTCCATCCGCTCCACCAAGACGCCGCACGACATCGTCGTCCTCGCGCACAACCTCTCCGGCACGCCGCGCCACATCTTCCGCGCGCTCGGCGCCAAGGTCAACCCGCTCCCGCGCCACGTGCCCGCGTCCGTGCTCGCGCTGCTCGACGACCCGTTCGGCCTCAACCCCCTCTCCGCCCTCAACGGCTCCTCCTCCGCCTTCCCCTCCGCCGCCTCCGCGGCGTCTCTCTCCGCGAATCCCGCGTGGGACGTGTCGTCCCCCTTCCCCCCCGCCACCTTCACGGACCCCTTCTCCTTCAGCTCCGTGTACACCCCTCCGCCGCACCCCTCGTCCCTCGCCGAGTGCCTGCCCTTCAAGTTCTCCATGTGGCTGCTGCTGCAGTACGCCAAGGTGGTCTACCTCGACCCCCGCATGCTCGTCCTCGAGAACATCGACGACGTCCTGGCTCGCCCAGAGCCTACCGCAGCGCCGGACAACTCGCTGCCGGATCGGTTCAACCCAAGCCTGCTGGTGCTGGAGCCCAGCATCGCCACGTACCGCCAGCTCGTCGCCGAGTACGCGGCCATCGCCTTCGGAGACTCGGGGGACGCCGACAGCGCCAGGAGAGCGCTCACCGAAGGCGAGCAGCAGCAGCGCGTGCAGCGGCGGCGGCGGCGGGGTCCGGTGCTGCCGGTGGGGTCGGAGGACCTCATCTTCTTCAACCACTTCTTCTCCGACTGGCCGCAGCTGGGCGCGCTGCACCATTTGGACTACGGGTGCAACGCGCCGTCCAAGCTGGGGTACTCCGCCACGTGGAACGAGTGGGTGCACCCGAAGCTCAAGGTCGTGCGCTTCTCGGGGGGCTTCGAGCGCTGGGACGAGCTGACGGACAAGCTGTACCCGCCCACGCGGCGCTACGACCACCTGCGCTGGGAGCTGCTGCGCGACATGTCCGGGCTGCTCGTGCAGCAGGGGGTCATCGCGCCCGCCGACGCGCTGCCCAGCCCGCTGTGCCAGACGGACTACATGCAGTACGCGCGCGGGGCGCCCGTGCCCAGGAAGCTGTCAGTGGTGATCCTCACGGGGGGCGACCTCACCACGCTGCAGACGCTCATCTTCCACTTCGCCGCCATGCGCTTCGTGCACATGATCTACGTCATGGCCAAACCCCTCGACGGCCTCGCAGGCAGCGGCGCCGCGGGTGGCAGCGGTGTAACTGACTCGTCAGGAGGCTTCAGCGTTGGTGGCAGCGGCAGCGGCAGTGGCGGAGCGAATGTTGGCGGCAGCAGCAGCGCATCGGGGCACACGCAGGCGATCCTCTTGGCGGCCATCGAGTCGTGGAACGCCAGCAAGCCCGTGGAGCTGCTGCCCCCTCTGCGGCGCTACTCCATGTCGGCGCGCATGCGCCCCATCGCGTCGCTGCCCACGGACTGCATCCTGCTGTGCGACGACTCCGTCATGGTGGGCGCCTCCGTGCTCTCCTCCGCCTTCAAGTTCTGGCAGGAGCATCCGCAGCGCCTCGTCGGCTTCTTCCCCTCGGCGCACTACAGGGACCCCCACACCAGCGAGCTCGTCTTCGTGGCGGACCCCAGGGAGGAGTATTCGATGGTGGGCGCGAGGCTCCTGCTGATGCATGCTGACTACCTGCAGTCGTACACGTGCACGCTGCCGCAGGTGAGGGGGATGAGGGGTATGAGTGCTACGTAGTGCATGCTTCTTGGCACTGGTGGGACACATGCGCGCTGATGGCCTGCAGTTGTACACATGCGCGCTGATGGCCTGCAGTTGTACACATGTGCGCTGCCGCAGGTGAGGGGCGGGGCATGCCTCAAGACACAGCTGATAGATTTCTTACCTGCTGTCTCTGGAAAGTTCACCCTGTACTTTGCACTGGCTCGTGACAGTGGCGATTCTCCGTCCTCTCCTCCCCCGCTTCCACCTCCCTCCGCCACCCCTCCCCCTCTTGGGTTGCCCAATGCCCATCCCTCTCGTCACCAACCAAGTCCGCCGCTCCCCCATTCCACCTCCCTCCGCCACGACTCTCAACCTCCACCACCCTCTGCCCTTCTCCCCACCACCCACCCAACCCCCCCCTCCCCTTTCCGTCCCCTGGTCGTGCACGCATGGCAGTCGGTGCGCGACTACATCGAGATGGTGCCGCAGTGCGCGGACACCGCGCTCAACTTCCTCGCCTCCGAGCTGACAGACGCGGCGCCGCTGCTCGTGGTGGACCCCGACAAGCGTGTGACGGAGGACCTGGCGTCGTCGTTCGAGGACCACACGCGTGTGGGGTCGGCGTGCCTGAACGACCTCGAGGCCATGTTCGGGGACATGCCGCTGCGCAACTCCACCCTCGCCAAGTTCCATCTGGAGCAGGACACGTTCACCAAGATGCAGTTCAAGAAGGCGGGTGGGGGCGCGGGCGGAGGAGGGGGAGGGGGCGGGGGAGGCGGGGGCGGGGGGGAGGGGGAGAAGGAGGGCGCGCTGCAGTGGGAGGCGCTGTTTGACTCGACCAAGATGTCGTCCAGCGATGAGAACTTCCGCTTCATGCCGTCGCTGCGACGGGTGCGCTCTCCATACACGGGCGTTTCGTGGTTCTCGTGCTCACCTGCTCCTCCAACGTCTCCCCACTTGAACCCCCCTTCTCGTCCCAACTGCCATTCCCCTACGCCCTCTTCCCTTTGAGTTCTCCATGCATCTGTAGCTGTAGCCTGCCATGTGCTCCATCACCCCTTCCCTCCATGTTGGCCTCTACTTCTTCCTCTCCAGTTCCCCGCACGAGGTGTCTCTTTCTCCCTCTCATCCAAGTGTTGGTCATCTCGCCACCAGCACACCCCTCCTTCCCTCCCTCCCCCCCCGACAGCTGGTGAATATGATTGACAGTCATGCACACTTCCCTACTTGATCCACCACACTCTCACCCATCTTTTTCCACCCTCTCCTTTCAACCTTCCCTCTCCTTTCAACCTTCCCCCCCTCCTCTCCTCCCCCCCCCAGGTGACCAACATGCCCGAGGTGCACGTGTTCCCATCCCCACAGCACCCCAAGCAGATCCTCTGCATCCTCGGCAACCTCTCAACCCCCCTGTGCTTCTCGGGCGGGCTGTGCAACAACTCCTTTGCCATTGCCACCTTCGACTCCATCCCGCCCTCCGCACTCATGCTGCTTGGCACGTCGCTGCTGCTGCACTCGCGCTACGGCTTCGACGACCGCTTCCACACGCCCAACATCCTCGCCAACCTCTTCTACCCGTACCCCGACTACTCCTTCATGCGCCCCGCGCGTGCCTTCTTCTACCGCCGCGGCGGCCTTGACATGCGCCTCTCGCCCTGGTCACGCCTGCTGTTCAAAGCCATTCTCGGCGCGCACATCGCACCCTTCCGCGTGCGCAACGGCACGCGGCCGGTGTGCTTTGAGCGCGCAGTGATGACGCGGCGGTACCGGCCGGCGGCGCAGGAGCGCAGCATCGTTTTGCAGGACGTGCAGGAGCGCGCCTGGGCCTACTGCTCCGTCGTCGCTGCCACCATCCCCACTGCTGCCGCTGCTGCTGCTGGGAACAGCAGCGGGGGGGCGGGGATGGCCCAGCAGCAGCAACAGCAGCATCCGATGGGGGGGGTGCCGGCCGGGCTGAGGGGGTTCGTGAGTTCGGACGCGAAGACGACCCGCGTGCTGGTGCTGTACGGCGACGCGGACAGTGGCGGGTACGGCATGATCGAGAACCTGCAGGCGGTGCTCAAGGGGCTCAAGGACCGCTGCCACCGGGGCACGCACTGCGAGCTCGTGGCCGTCAGAGAGGCCAACTTCACCAACTTCTGTGCCCAGGTGAAAGGTGGTGCAGGCGCACCACAGCAGGCAAGTGCTTGCAGAAAGCACGACTCACGCGTGCAGGCCCCCTTGCAGTGCTTGCGTCTCCAGGCGAATTGAGGGATTCGAGAGTGAAGAGCAGACGATGTTGACGGGTTGCGGAATGAAAGAGGAACAGTGTTTGTTGTTGCCTAACGCTTGCTTCAACGTCGCACCTTCCCCCTGCCTGCAGCCATGACTTCATCCCCGCCTACCCTCTCTCCCGCTGCCTTTCCAATTCCCTTCTCGCCCGCGTGCAGCACTTCAATCCTCTTCCTTCTCCCCCATCCCCTCCCCCCCCCCTCCCTCCCCACCTCCCCTGCTCCCCCTTTCCCTATTCCTTCCTGTCTTTTGGCTTGTCCTGCCGCCCTGAATGGCAGGTACTGTTCATGGGCGCAGCGTCCATGTTTGTGACGGTGAGTGGCGACGGCACCATGAACCACGTCATGTGGATGCGCCCCGGCAGTGCTGTGCTGGAGCTGGTTCCGTTCGGCATCCCCGACTACGACCCGCGTGTGCTAAGGGTTTATGAAGAAGCCGGCAGGTAAGGCTTAGCGGCAGTTGAGGTGAGCAGCGCTGGTATGGCTGAGCTCTACATGGGCGAACTGTGCTGCAGGTGGGTTGTTTTCTGTTGGCAGGTGAGGGATGCGGGTATGAGTGACCATGTTACACATGCCTTTTCTGCAGTATGAGTGAGCATGTTACACATGCCTTTTCTGCAGTATGAGTGAGCATGTTACACATGCCTTTTCTGCAGTATGAGTGAGTGGGTTTTATCCAGCTGGGGCCCTTGGGCATCCGCGCTACGACCTCCTGGTGGGCAATGCGGCTATGATCAATGGAAGGTGGCAGGTGAGGAGAGTCGCCATGTGAAGCTGGCAGGTGAAAAGACGCGCCCATGTACGCAGTGGCAAGTAAGTGTGTGAGCCATGGAGCTTGCAGCCTTGCACCTGGGCCTTTTTGTTGTGTATTTTGAAGGCAGGGTTGCAACACCTTGGCCGTGTTGGACCCGATCCACTTCTGCCGCACCCTCTTTCAAGCCATACCCTCCTCCATCCGTGCCCGTTGTTCATTGTGTGCCCTTTGCCATCCCCACCGCCATGCGTGTGGGTGTGAGTGGAGCACGGCAGGGTGTATGAGTGCGTGGGGTGGGGCGCTCGTCATTGGACTCAACGCATGAGGTACCATCCTCACCTCTTTCGACCCCATCTCTCTCCCCTGTTTCCATCGTGTGCAGGTGGGTGCGAGTGGAGCACGACAAGGTGTTTGAGCACATGGGGCCGGACTGCCCGCGCAAGAACGCGTCGTGCCGCTTCATGTACCGGCGGCGCGCCATCGTGGCCAACGTGACGGCGGTGATGGAGTGGTTCGACGCCACGTACACGCGCATGCGCACACAGGGCAAGGAGGGCACTCTGGGAGGCAGATATGGTGGCAGGATATGAGTAGGCAAGGCAGTTGGGCATGCGTTACCACTTTGCTCTGTGTAACGATGTCTACCACCCATTCATGGTGCCAGGGAGTAGTGGTAGGTAGCATGGCTGTCATCAACACTCTAGTTGCCTTGGTGGTGGAACAGCCATGTTCTCGAATAGTAGCGGGTTTTGGAGGTGGATGGGGGTTTTGCCGTGCTATGAGTTCTAGAGGTGCATCTGTCAACTTATACATATTATCTATGTAGAAGTTATAGGCTAGACTGAGGTATGCTTCTAGTGAGTACAACCAACTAGTATTTGTTCTAGGTTTCCACCTCTAGTAATCATTCGTTTCTACGTTAACATGGTATCAGAGCCGAGAGTGAAGGACAGCGACGCAGTGGCGGGGGCCGGGGACGGAGCCGGTGCAGCGACTAGACTAGGCAACCTAGGCAGTCCTACGCCTGTCGCAGCAGGGGAAGCTAAGCTACACAAGGGTGAAACACCTAAACTAGAGTACACAGGGTAGTAAGATCCATCAACACTAGAAGCGTCAGCATACAAAGCATGCAAAGCAGCACCTATCTGATCCATGTCTAACTCAAAGATCGGCACGCCCTGGCGGAGCAGGCTGTGCCAGTCAGGGAGGTCCGGGGCCGGGCCAAAGCGACGACGAAAAAGATCGTCGAGGCGGCGGAAACAGCGGGCGGTCGGGTGCGGGCGGCGGCACAGAGTGCCGCGGAGAGGCCCGGTCTGAAGCTGGTACTGGCAGGTCACAGCACTGGAGCCGCTGGTAGACGCCAAGCTGCGCGGGCCGCCACCACGGCCACCGCCTCCGGAGGTGCCGGGCCAACCAGGCGGGAGACGAGCCCACGGCTGCGGCGGGTGCTGCTGGGACGGCGGCTGCGGCTGGGGCTGGTCCTGCTGCTGCTGGGACTGCTGCTCCTGCCCACCGGTGGTAGTCCCCTCAGGCGGACTACCGTCACCACCACCACGACCACTACCACCTGCGTCACCACCCCTACCTCCCTGGCGGCCACGGCCACCGCCACTGCGTCGCTGTCCTTCACTCTCGGCTCTGATACCATGTTAACGTAGAAACGAATGATTACTAGAGGTGGAAACCTAGAACAAATACTAGTTGGTTGTACTCACTAAGGCGCTTGCGCCTAAAGATCATCAGCGGCACTGTGTACAGCTTGGTCTTGTTCCTATAGCTGCTCCCGTGTTAGGATCCTGATTGTGTACTCTCTATTATATATGCTTGTCAGACTGGCCTTGTGGCCCTACCTCCAGTGGCTGGACTAGTAGTGCCACCCTGGCTTGATTCAGTTTTGGTTGTATTCTTGCTGACTGGTCTCCAGACCCCTGCCTCAGTGGTTGGACTAGTAGTGCCGCCCTGAGCTGTTTGCTTCTTGTTTAGTTTCACCCCTTGTCTAGCCTAGGGGGTGTGTCAACTTATACATATTATCTATGTAGAAGTTATAGGCTAGACTGAGGTATGCTTCTAGTGAGTACAACCAACAGCATCTTCATCACCAGTAGCACCAGCGAGTAGTCAATAACCAACACAGTTTCAGATAAAAGCCTAATTCACTAGGGGTAAACACCCTATTATACACTAGCCTATTGGCAGTCCAGTGCTTCTGGTTCCAGCCACAGTTGCTGTTGCCTTCACTAAGCATCTTGAACTGACAACTAGAACTGTCTCAGCAACACACTGCTCATTCTGCGGAGAGCAGCCCGGCTGCTAGAGCCCGATATTCTCCGCCTTGCACCAAACCTGCCAATGCCAACCGAGATGCCTGATGCTGCCAGTGACTCCCTCTCCTCCTCCTCCGCCTCATCCATGTACAGCTGATTCATGTAGCACCTGTTCCCTGACCCGAATGTCTTGTAGCCCTGCCTGCTGCCGCCATCCTCATCCTCCCCAAACAGCTGGTTTGAGAAAGTACTCACTTCCTCTGCCTTCCCAGATCCCTTCACCTCCATGCTCCAACCCTTCCCACTGCTGGAAATGCCTCGGCCAATCCCCCTCTTCACACCAGTAACCACGGTTACCGAGCCAGTGGGAGTGCTGCAGAGGCTATCAGCAGAGGAGGAGGAGCAGAGACTGTGAGCAGAGGAGGAGCAGGAGTCCCAGACGAGGTCAATGAGGCACGCAGAGTGGCTGCTGCAGCTGCTCTCACTGCGACTCATGCTGCTCGCCTCTGCTCCCACCTTCACACCCTGCTGTGCCTGCTCCGACTCTGATTCCACACCCAACCACGAAACGACCTTAGCTGAGGGAGCAACTGTCCAGACTAAAAAAGAAGCAACCCGGTTTTCTGGTGCAGCAACTGCGTTCAGGAACGAAGACTGCTCCTCCGGTTCCTCTGGTTCCTCCCGCTGCTCAACCACGAACGAAACGGTAGCTGTCACATGAGGGGCATCCGCTTTGCCAGCTTCAGTCGGATTGTTGACGGTTCCTGGCTCTGCGTCAGCTGACGTGGCTTCCTCCGCAAGAGCGACAGCGGGAAGAGCGGAAACCCGCTGCACCTCGACTGCAGCTTGCTTGCACGACCTGATCAAACTGACGACGGCCTGCATGAGAAAACAAATTAATACGTTAGTCGCTGTTCAAGAGAGTGCTTAAAAAAACGTGAGCGGACATCAGCACGTAAACAGCTCGAAGGTAACAGTAGATGCAGAAACAGAAAAAGAAACATTGGAGGAGTTAGTTCTTACCAGGCGAGGAGCAGAGATGGTGCTGCAGACGAAGTGAGTCAGGGAGTCATCTTGCTCCCAGCAGCTCAAGAACAGAGCATCTACGTCCACGCAGGCACGCTCAGCACCGACGCAGGCCATGTTGTTGACGGGGGGAGTTAAAACGGAGGCTGATTTGCGTGTAGACTTCCTAGGAGAAATACGGAGCATTCGAGGGCATAGGCAGCTGGTAAACGGGAGTTGTAAGAAGACCAGAAGGCGGGAAACTCGAAGAGAGGGTAAGAGGATGAGCTGCTAACTTCAGTCGAGACTGATAACTGAAACAGAAACCCCTCATTTATCTATACGATTTCCGTCAGGTGGGACCAGGGAGTTGGATGAGCGTCTGAAGAGAAGCGGGTGAGAGGGAATGAGCGTGGGAATGCGACGAGAGGCACGGAGGGAATGGGAGGAGGCAGAGGGTTCGAGGCGAGCTGTGGAACCTGATGGCCGCTGCTGGGCGAATTTGCGTCGCGGGTGGGGTGGGTTGGCGAGGGACTGCTATGTTCGGAGCCCATGGCGACGTCGTCACCTGGCCTTGGGAGCTCTGGGGTGTCGCGCGAGTGTCCCGTTTTACTAGCGGCGACTCAGAATGCGATACCTGTGCTATATGTGCCAGCGAGGAGGGCTGATCTGGAAGCGCGTCGTGCTCGAGGGTCCGCCGCAATCGGGAATACCGAGTGCGAGACGACAAATTTGGAAGGCGGGAAAGAGGTCAGGTTCGGAAGCTGGCGACAGTTTCGGCAAATGCGGTATGGTAATCAAACCTACTTCCGAGGCTGATCTACAGGCCTGCAAGATATCGGAATGTTGAACATGTGAACCCATATGTTCGTTCTAGCGTCCAGGCCAGGTATGGTAGCCAGGTTTGGTGATCGGAGATTACAAGGATTGCCGAGCGAGAAATTTGGAACTCGGTACGCTTTAGAGGCAATCACAGAACCACAGCACACATCCTTCAGAACAGATACACGGTTCAGCTTTGTACACAGATATATCTTTAGAAGGTACTACTGCATTTCCCCAGATAGGCGCCCCTAGGGGCGTGTAGGGAGAAACGATTTTTGTTTCTGTTGGGGCCAAACATAGGCTTTTGTGGGTTGCGTTGCAACCCATCGGTCGGTGCACCAATTGTGTCTTAACGTAGAAAGGAGTGACTAGAATGAGGTGGTACAAGGGGATATACCCTGAGGGGTTGTACCCTATATGAGCATGCACCTAGCTAGCCTAAAACATATACAAATTTTATGTTGACACACCCCCTAGGCTAGACAAGGGGCAGCAACTAGCACGAGACACGCAACTCAAGATGACACTACTACAACCTCTTAGGCAAGGGTCCGAAGACCAGTCAGCAAGAGTACCAATTAAGCAAGTGCAACCCAGGGCCGCACTACTAGTCCAGCCACTGGAACAAGAGCCACACGGCCAGTAAAGACAACATAAATAGTAGTACACAATCAGGGACCTAGAAAGTGAGAAGCTACAGGAACTAGACCAAGCTGTACACAGTGTCGCTAATGATATTTAGGTGTAAGTGCCTTCGAAACGATATGAGCTGTGTTGGCACCTCAGGCCAAGCGTACTACGCGGGCCTGGCGGCGCTGCTGTAGCTCGCGCAGGAGGAAGTACCGCAGCTAGATGTGCTTCGCTCTGCCCTCCAGTCGAGGCTCCTGACACAGGAGGATCATGGCTTTGTTGTCAGCGTACAGGACCGGGGCAGAGCTAGGCCGCTCACCTAAGTCTGTGTGTAAGTAAGTCAGCCAACGCGGCTCCTGTGCCGCCATGGCACCAGCGTAGATCTCGTCCTCGCAGCTCGATTGGGCAACAAACGACGAGTGGGTGGACCTGCACGAGATGGCGCCTGCACCAAGGCTAAGGCAGTAGCCCTGGAATGACCTGAGCGTCTCAGCGTCGTCCACCCACGAAGCGTCTATGTGCCCTCTAAGGACCACTGGCCTGGGTCCTCCTAGCACTAGCCCATGCCCGATGTACTTGCTAGATAACGCAAAACCCTCTTAGCAGCCGACTAGTGCTGTGGTCGGTGTCTGCCTCTGGCCACAAAGCGAGCCAGGATGCCGCGAGGGTATGCGAGATTTGGACGAGTGCAAGTTATCAGGTACATAAGGCAATCCACTAGCTCTGCGTAAGGACCATTAGGCTCTACAGACTCCTCAGGGACTGAAGCCGAGAGCCTGTAATCTACTAACAGAGGTGTGGGTTGTGCGGCTGCTGCTGCAGCGGCGATGGCGGCGGTTGCTGCGACAACAGAGAAGGAGACACCGAGGCGGAAACATTCGGCGAGAACTACATCGCGGGGCCACCAGAGTCAGCCGACTCCTCGACCGGGACAACCGACAGGAGGGGAGTGACGTGAGACACACCAGCCGGAGCAGGACGGGGAGAGAGGGGAGTAGGGGCTACCGGGGGAGTGGGAACCAGAAACAGGGGCGGGGAAACCGGGATACCTCGGTGGGGAAAGCGGTGGTAGAAGGAGGTAGACTCGTCAAAAGTGACGTTACGCGAGTGAAGGAAACGGTGAGACGGCGGGTGGTAAAAGTGCCAGTCAGACGAGTCGACGGGGAAACCAAGGAAGAAACAGGGGACAGTGCGAGCAGTGAGCTTGTCCGTGCCAGAGACACGAGTTTGAGCAAGGCAGCCCCAGACGTGGAACGCAGACGCGTCACCAGGTAACCCGGTCTAGAGAAGGGTCGGCGAAACAAGCGGTCGCTGGGAGTGCGGCCACAGGTTAATCTGGTGAGCGGCATAGCAAACGACGAATATTCAGAGAACATGGGGTGCACTGGCATAGATCATGGAGGTACGAGCCACCTTCATGACCAAACCGATGCATCGTTCATCGACTCCATTATGCTGTGGGGAGTCCGGTAGGGTGCACGACTAGGTGATGCCCTCCGTACGACAGAACTGGCCAAGCCGACCAGAGAAGAACTCGCGCTGCGGTTGGAGTGGAGACACAACACTGGGAGACCTTGGTGGACGCGCGCAACTAGGACCCACGGGATAAGAATGTCAGGCACTTCCGCCTTCCGCTCTAGAGGAAACACCGTGGTGTAGCGCTTGTAGTCGTCGACAAGCACTAGAAAGTAGCGGTCTCGACAATGTTTGGGCCCCGGACGTCCAGGTGCAGGGTCTGGAGTGGCGCGGTGGCAGGGCAAAGCGAGGAGGAGTGAGGAGCACGACACAGCCAGCCCTCGACGAAGGGCATGCACGGTGGCACGGGGGAGCGAGGGAGGGCAGGGAGCGACACAGGGAGACCTAGGACAAGACCGTGCTTAGACAGCGGTGAAGTGGGGACGCTCAGACAGGGGGAGGGCATGACTAATGGCAAGCTGCGCTACGGCGTTGCGCGACTCCCAGACAGCATGAGCAAACGCAACAGCGGAAAGGGACTCACGCTGAGCAGTGGTGGGGTAATCAGGGAGGGCAGCAGGTGCGGGGGGGCGCGGAAGCAAGCCATCGACATGAACAGCTAGTGAGTTACCGTCTTGGTGCTGACCTGTCAGGTGATGGCGAAGATCGACAAGCCAGGCGTCGAGTTCGATCGCTCTCCCCTCCATGTCTAGGCAAAGCACAGCGTCCGCCATTGCACGACCTCAGCTATACGGCAGCACGGCGACACGGCGACACAGCTCTACGGCAGGGCGTCGCCACGGTGGCACGGCGGCACGACGACACGTGAGGAGCTAAGAAACTAAGGTATGAGCACCCGCACTTCACCAACCGAATCTGGCAAGAAGTGACTCGGACACCCGGGACGAAGCTCAAGATGTCATCTGCCTTCCATCCACAGACGGATGGACAGACAGAACGGTCAGATCGCACCCTTGAGCAGGTGCTTTGCTCGTTCATAGGCCCACTGCAGGATGAATAGGATGAATTGCTGCCTTATGTTGACTTCGCAGTCAACACCTCGGTGCATGAAAGCACGCGAGAGAAACCATTTGTTCTCAACTCTGGTTGGCATCCCACAACACCTGCAACACATGGGATCGGTGGGTTGATGATACCTACCGCAAAGGACTAGGTTGCTCGGCAACAAGAGTCGTTGAAGTCAGCTCGGCGCTGGCTTGAGCTTTCTTAGCAACGGCAGAAATCCTATGCTGACATGAAACGCCGGGAGATCTCCTATGAAGTGGGAGACAAAGTGCCCCTCAGTATGAAAAACATTCGTCTTAAGATCCCTGGTGCACGAAAGCTATTCCCTCGTTAAATTGGGCCTTTCGAGGTGATCAAGCGTGTTGGTGCCGTAGCTTACAAACTTAAGGTGCCTGATACATTGCGGATTCAGAATGTCTTCCACGTGTCTCTGCTTAGCAAGTACATTGCAGAGGGCAAGTACTTGCCGCCACCAACAATTTTCCTAGGGGAGGAACTGTATTATGAGTTCAAACGGGTGCTCATGCATCGCGATCGACAACGCGGCCGCAAGACAGTACGAGAGTTCCTCATTAAGTGGAAAGGCTATAGGTCTGAACACAACTCATGGGAGCTAGAAGAGCATTTGACTGAAATAGCTATTCAGTCTTATCTCGAAGACCTGGCTCCACGCGAGGTCCTACACCCAATGGATGGTGTCGAACCTGGTCATAGCGTGACTCGTCGCGCACGTTCCATTCGTCCCCATAAGCACTCCATGGCCAGACATTGCCAGGTGGAGGGGGAGGAGTGTAACAAATCGCCTACGAATCGCCTCTCCTAGTCTAACTACAGCGACTACTATCGACGTTCCTGTTTTCCCCTTGCGCGCTTGCGGGAACATATTTGGAATGTTAGGTTGGGTTGGATAGGTTTGGGATTGAAGGTTGGGAAGATAGGTTTGGGTGATGGGCTTGGAGTGGTGGTTGCCACTCAACCACAAAGTAACAGGTTGGATTTGGGTTGGGCAACAGTTGTTCCTATTGGCTGCAATTCCAACCAATGCACATTTAGCAATCCAAGATAAGTTTGCACACCTCAGCAAATTGATCCAGCTCACTACAAATTCCTTGGTTGGGAAAACCCAACCCATGCCATATGGGCAAGGCCCACAATTGGTTCACCACCTCCTTTGCCATGGAGGAGGTGGTTGCACCCCAAGGGGTCTAGGAAGTGGGAGGAATCTTGGAGCTCATTCTTCACTTTCCTTCCCCAATAACTCAATATTTTAAGAAGGATCCTCCTCCTCTCTAAGTCCTCCAACTGCTGTCTCTACAGTTAAGGACTTAGCCAAATATTGGCTACAGTATTTCCTTGTCATCTCCAAGTTTCCCTTGAAGTTCAGGCCTACTCCTAGTCTTAATTAGGAGTTCTCTATCATTGTATTCCGCTACTTATAAACCGGTGTTGCTATAAGCCGATGGATGTTATAAAGAGTCTGTGCTTGATGTTACTAGGGGTTGCAGTTACGACGTCTCTCGACTATCGTTCCTATTGCGCCGTAAGTTCATGGAAGGCCGACTCGCTCGCTATTCTCCCGCACTGTTCGTTCAAACTACAAAATTGGTGGCATCACGCTGTGCGTGGAAGCGAAAATACCGGGTATAGAGCCATGGATCCCGAGCACA